AGTCCTCGACTTACGACCGGTTGGGGTCGCGGCATTAAAAAGGTTGAGAACCACTGTTCTACATACTGACGTCTTAACAAGCAGTCCCTGGCTTAGACAATTATTTACTGCTGTCCCCCCTCTTTGTATGCTGTGTTAATACCGGTAGTAACATGTCTGGCTGGCTACTTTGGAATTCTAGTTAAACCGTGTTGGCAGCCACCTAACACGTTTTCACTCAGAATGGGTTGGGGTGCAAGTACGGCTTTGGGTTGGGAGTCCTTTACTGCAGATCAACACTCCCAGACCCATAATCCTGTGCTAAATCAGAAAGGCGTTTGTATCCACGTGTGGTAAAAATGGTTAGAGCTAAGGAGAGAAAGAATCGGAGAAGATTGGTGAGCGTTTTGCTTGTAGACCCTGTAGAAGACAGAGGTAATAAGGGGCCGAGACATTGCCTACCGCATCCCTCTACAGTAGTGGCCAAAATTGTGGAAACCTTTTGGGAAAAGTGTATTTTTGAGGTTTGATGGCTAATAACACCACTTTCTTTTGGAGTAGTACCATGAAATTATATATCAATGGAAAGATAATTTAATCAAGAATGTATTGCAACATGGTTTGTTCAATTATCTGTATTCTATGAAAAGTTATAGCCCAATAACCAGAAAAAGGAAGCACAATTTGCTTAGGTTGATCTCAGGTAGCTTTCCTTCATCTGATGGTAGCCAATGAGCAGGAGTGTTTAGGGAGCCAATCAGGTGTCATCTTGTTTTGGCCATGAGCCAATCGGATCACAGTAGGATTCAGTGATTGATGTCATGTATTGAAGCTGAGAGGAGGACATTTGTCAGTGTGTTATGTGATCTCTATCAAGTCGGTTGGGTTTTTTTGCGTTCTTTCATTTAGTGAGCTTGCGAAACGTCATAAAATTAAAGCAATGGTGCAAAGAGTTGACTGGTTGCCCAGAAAGCGATGTAAAATAGGATTATTAAGTGAACAAGGCTACAGTTATAAAGAAATGAGAAAAAAATGGGTGGAAACTTAACCAAAGGTGGCATTTCTACGGTACCCTTTTCCCAAAAAGTTTCCACCATTTTGGCCACTACTGTAGATTAGTTTTTAAGCAAATGTTCCAGGTTTTGGATAGCGTTGATTGGGGTTCAGCACCTTCTGTTGCGGGCACCTTCTAATCAACAGAACCGGTGAAGTCATAACATGGTTTTGTTTTAGCCCCGCTTGAGATGCGAAGCCAGTTGCGGGTTATAAACCCTGGCATAAGGCAACGAGTAAATGCTGTCGGGATCCACGGAGGTGGTTTTCCTGCTCCTGAGAGCTACCTGTATTTCGACAATGGAGTACATTTGAGAGGCGTTCCTGGTGTACTCTCCAGCTGAGATCTAAAGACATCCCAGTTATCAGGGCTTAGAACACAGCAATATCTGAGGTTCTGAGGTACCCAACCTTGGCATCTTTAAGACCTGTGGACTTCAACTCCCAGAATTCCCCAGCCAGTCAGACTGAACTTTGGCAAGTCTGACAATTGGAAGTCCACAAAAAGTTGCCAAGGTCTTAGGTCAGGGCTTTTCAACCAGTGGTACGGGTACCACCTGTGGTACATTGGCACCTGGCAGGTGGTACGCGACCATCCTAGAAAAGGGGTAGCAGGGGAGGGGAATCTTATCTTATCTTATCTTATCTTAAATTTAATTTATATACCGCCCTTCTCCCATAGGACTCAGGGCGGTTCACAGCATATTTAAAAAACAGATACTATACACAATACAAAATACAAAAAATACAAAAAAATACAACAATATAAACCCCAATAAAACCGAATTAAAAACCAAATATTGACGGCTGTGTTTCCAATTAA